AGGCTAGTTAAATAATCACAATACGAAGGTAACGGAAGATATATTTTGTGTATTATTTGATTATTAGAAAATATATCCGCAAAGACGCGAAACTTAAAAAACAATTAAATTAAAAAATTTAAAGTTGATCTTATTTCAAAGAGGTTTCATGGAGGTTTTAAAAACGTCACTATTTGGTATTTTGGTAATTTTTAGATAATCGATATTAAACATCTTTGTTTCTAATTAAATTGTATGAGTCCCAAGACATTCTAACAATAAGTAACATCATATATTTTGATAAACTATTTATTTTATATAGTAAATCTTGAAAAGAGTTTTCATGTGAATTTTCAAATTCTCTAAATTATTTTCACGTTTATAGTCACTTTATTTATACGTTTTATTTGCACATTTCACGCCTTTCTTTTCGCGATTTTTATGTATAGAACGTTACCATTCGCCAAAAATTATTTGTCACGGCATTGTCTGCATCGAATATATATGTATAGACGTGACTGCCCAGCAGGTTCGTCAACCCTCCTGCGATGGTCACGCTGTAAGACCGAAGAGAAATAGCACGGCTCGTGTAATAGCTCCTGCGTGGCACATCAGAAGTACTTCGAGTCAAGTACCGACTTGATAACTCCGTCCGACGAGTGCTATCGTCTAACCGAGTATTTTTTTGTTTTTTTTTCGTCACCCCTGCACTCGGTATCACGTTCGGGATACATGTCTCTACGAGGACTAATTAAACTCTTCCTCTATCCTCGACACGACCATTAACTCGTGGTTGCAGAAAATCGATAGAATTTTAGATAAAATAAAATAATAAAATTTTCATAATAATTAAGTTTTCTCTGTACCTCTCCCCTTTCTCGATTAAATACACTTCTCAACAAAATTAAAGGATCGCTTAAAATCAACTCTAAAAAGGACCGAATTCAAAGTCACGTATCTTTGCAAAAAATAATCGCAGAATAATGCTTAAAAACGCGTTTTAAAGCTTAAAGGTTCAACTTTCGAATGCTTAAAAGCTGAAACTTTAAGCTTTAAAACGTTTAAGCTTTAAAACACGTTTTAAAATCGTTCTGCGGTTATTTTTCGCAAAGATACGTGACTTTGAGTTCGGTCCTTTTCAGGGCTGATTTTAAATAATCTTTTAATTTTGTTGAAGTGTAGTTTCATTATCTTACTTTTTATGGAAATAAAAATATCAAAAAGATAACTGCTCAATTATTTCCTTATCAAAACATATTAATGTCTTTTTGCAAATTATTAATACCTAATTGAAAGAAAATTGATTCTGTAGGATATATCTGCTGCTAATCGATCGGTATATGTCTCTCAGATAACTTTTACTGTACGCGCTCTTTCTTTACTTATTCATAGAGCGTTTATATTTGTTTTACCTGTTTCCACTTGCAAAATTACCATGCTTCTGTTTATTGCGCGTAAATAAAATTCGCTGTTGCGTAAATACATTTTGCGACCTCGCTCTCGCGAAGGTCGCGGGTCGTTCCGCGCGATTTCAGCTACAGCGAAACTGCGCGTCGCGTCGCCGCGCGTCGTGGGTGTCGCGGATCCCATTCTCTCACGGGCATTCGGATTTCGAAAATGAGGTCTCGTGCGTGCAGCGATAACGCTATTATGCAGCTCCGGCGATTAATAACGAACGACGTTTATAGATGCACGGTGGCGCGTTATACGAGAGGTCGCGCGTACAGCTCGTAATGTTCTAAGCTACATTAACAAATGTTTTCCCGTCCTATTCCAGCGCCTGAACATGAATATTAAGTGATTCTGCACACCCACGATACATGATTCCAGCGCAATTTTCGCATCAATTATGAGTATTGTGACATGAAATATATATGCGTTTAATGATTTAGTACTCTAATTATCGAAGCAAATCTACCGTGCTTTTGATAAGATGGAAATTTGATTTTCTTTCTCAAAGTGATTTCTTCGTACAAGCCTATACGTAATTTTTCCTTTAGTAAAAATAAAACTGTATGTATATAAATATAATAATTTTATATAAATTTGTTTATATAAAATAGAAAAAATAAATTAACCAAAAATAATGATTAACGTTGATGTGCCTCAATTATAATTCATCGATAAAGAATATCATTATACCCTAATAACATGATATCATGAAGGTACAGACAATGTATAGAGAACCTAATTTACTGAGAACATCCCTATTCTCTACTAATATTCTCTACTTTTACGAACATATTCTCCGAACTCATACCCTACATGTGCTGTTAGGGTATGTTTCCTAAAATGATGTAATATGTTTCTCTAAAGATTATGAAAATATTAACGAAAGAGCAATTAGATTGTAATTACGTTAAACAATTGAAATCGTTCGTTATATATTTGATATAAATATAATCGCATATGTAACAATTTAATATAATTAAATTAGAAATGTCGATACCGACACACACACATTCTATACCTATATAACTAATATATGTATAAGAAGGAATTAAATGATAGAATGGGTAAGTAAGCTTGATGAAGAGATCGCTTCATCATTTAATTAGATTATAAACACCAGTTAAACGTAACCACCATGCTCTCGGCCTAAATGAATCATGATTAGAGGGAACTGTTAGAGAACCGGTCGATGCAACTAACAAACGGTGAACTCGTGCCGTTGCACTGAAGTAATTAATGAAATTACAATACACGCACTACGCTAATGACGAGACAAAGCATTATATCGTTCGAAGCATCCGCCATCGGGCATTCACGTGGGTAAAATTGTGGACTAAATACGCTTTTCTGCGAATATCGCTCCCATGTGTACCTAATTGCAAAATGTCTGTAATTTTTATTCTTAAGTGCAGCATCAACTAAAATTATTTTAAGAACGAACAGCTTTGGATAAGTGATCGCTTTGAGTAATTTGTAGAATATTTTTATTATTTTTTCTTCTTTTTATTTTCTGCTTTTCTTTTCGTTATACATTCGTTCTCCGGATATATAATTTACACATCATTATATATGTTGTTATACAAATGCTCAAATATATTTTATTGAAAAATTTGATATTTAACATTATTTAGAACATTTTTCATTTACCACGAATTTTCAAGTTTTTCTCCAGTTAAAAGAAATATTCATATTCTTGCTATTTATATTAATCGCATTATTCATTATAAAAATATAAAGCCAGCAATAATTGTTTTTGTTCTTTGTTTATCCTTACAATTTAGATAATATTATAATTAAACAAAATTTGAAATTATGTAACGCAATTTAAATAATAAAATAATTTTCAAAAAGTTAAAAGTTCTCTATAACATTGTTTTTACTAAATGCAATTTACCTTTTATTTGAAGCAGGCTTTCTGCTTTTTGGACCAACGGCTTAACGTCCCTTTCCGAAAGACGGAGCCCAGTTTGTTCCGCACAAGAGTCTATCTTGCACGGAGAGCGCAGCTTTCGGAAAAAACTTTCCATGGCTCTAATACATGGACTCGAACCTGGTTCTCCAGATTACGAGTCTGGCGCTCTACCACTAGACCACAGTGACCACACTGCCGTCCATTAACACTGCCATTTCATTGTATTATTAACTATTATTTTTATAATTACTAAATAATAATATAATTTAAATTATTGTGAAACAACAGACTTCCATTTCTGCTACTGCGTCGTCATGTTACGTTCGCAAATTACATCAACAAACTAAACGTTTGATGCGGATGTAATTAATACTAATCGACGCTAATATACTCAATCTGCTCGCAAACTGCTATCATATTACTGCTAATATTTTGTTTGCTCCGTATAATAATGTTATCGATATTATTAATACATCTATATATAATTACATATAAAATATGTGCATGTGTTTTTTTCTCTTGTATAATCTTTTTTAATTAACTTAAATAAAATTAACTTTAAAAGATTAACGTAGAGTGCGACTACAAAGAACAGACCTAAAGCCTGTATCACAATTACTACGGCCACATTCCGTAACGCGCATATGCGTGCATTTATCTATAGTATACGTAACGTTTATGTTTATGCGTGCATCATATGAGAAACGGAACGCACCCTACGTTTACGCGAGCGTTAAAGCACATATGACAGTCGTAGTCGTGGTCGTAAGTAAGGCCCCGGACACACACTTTTTCGTAACAGTAACAGTAGGATTTCGACCAATCGTGTTACTCGATTCGGGAACGTATGGCCGTACGTTTTCGAATCGAGCAACGCGATTGGTCGAAATCCTACTGTTACGTTCAACGGAAAGTGTGTGTGGCCAGCTTAACGCACAAGCTTTGGCGTATCCTGATCTGTCAGGTCGGGGACTACGACCGTCGTATATCGCTACGCCATGTTATGTGCTTTGACCCTTACTTCTGTAGTAACTTACGATAATTCGTTCGCGTAAACGGGATTTTGTAGTAACTTACGATAATTTACTCCGCGTAAACGAGTGAATTATCGTAAATTACTACAGAAGTAACGCTCGCGTAAACGTAGTAAATGCCTTGTTCTCTTTCGAAGAACTTCCTGAACAGGTGCACGTTGGTGCAATAAGTTAGAGTGAACTAAATAGCGTTATTTTCAACCGGGCCAGTCAAGAACGTTAAGAATATACTTGTCTCACCAACTTATTGCACTAGTGTGCACCAGCTCAGAAAGTTCTTCGGAAAAAAAAACACAGACGGTCAGATTGAAGATTAAAGATTGGAAGATTCGAATTGGAGATTCAAATTCAGCCAATCAGAGAGCAAAGACAGACTAAAATTAAATTTATCTGATTGGTCGAATTCTAATCCTCAGTTTGCAATTCTCTATTTTTAAATAAATTGAATGTATTGTCTGATATGAACTTATTAATACTTGTTACATTTGAAATGAAATAATTGCATATTTGCACGTTTGAAAGAAAAACAAAAAAGACGGAGAGTGCAAAAAGAGTGCTATTGTGCACCTTCCTTCGCGCATGGCAATACTGGTAATACGCAGTAGCAGTACGTAATACGTCAAATGACGTCGAGTGACGTAAGGTGATTCGGTGCGATTAAAACATTTGCATTTGGTGTCTTTAGTCTTTACTACGTTCGCAGTGGCCGAACGCGATGACCCGGCTGGTCCTCGACTTCCTGATTTGCGCTTTCGTGACAGCGAGCTTCGTGGACACGTACAGATACAATGGTATTACAGAACATTTTCCTCACGATTTCATGCTTTTACGTTTCTAACCTAGAAGTAATGACAGCTCAATATTTTTCTATCAATCACAACTTTCCTATCATGGTGTACATCCTTACGCGAATCTTATTTCAAAAATAAATTCTCGTGGCAAAAATGTAATCAGTCTTGTTTAAGATGTAGATCTTTTTCAACAAAAACAGTACACATCCGATGCTAAAAAATATTTTAATCTTCATACTTAAATAAAAGAATTTTAAGCTATATAGCTTTTTACTTTCTCAAAAAATTATATTCTTCTCGAAAAATTATATTAACTTTTATTTATCTTTTAAGCAATAAGCTGAATTAATTTCTTTATTGCGAAAACTGTCTTTCAGATTATGCCGTACCACAACGAGACGAAAATGATATGCAAAAATTGCTGCATATACTAGATGTTAATGAATATAACAAGGAGAAACGTAGGAACATTGAAGATGAACTTGAGAATTGGCACAAGCATTGGATGCCTGACAGGCCAGACGATCCACCGCCCAAGAATCAGCAACAATATGAATACAAATCTGTAACGGAGCCACCTCACGAGATGTATTGGCCTGGACGTTGGATGCCTGACAGGCCAGGCGATCCGAAACCACCGCCCAAGGTGTTGCCAAAGAATCGCCAACAATACGAACACGAATCTGTAACAGAGTCATCTCAGGAGACGCTTTGGCCTGGACGTTGGATGCCTGACAGACCGGACGATCCGAAACCGCCGCCCAAAGTGTTTCCGAAGAATCAGCAACGATATGAATACGATACTATAGTAGACTTTCCTCTCGAGATGCACATGGGTCATGTGTCACCAGAATGCGACGATGCTAAGGTTGCTATAGTTGCCATTCACATAGATTGTCTTAATTGAAAAGAACGCTTAAATTACTTCCTTACAAAGAATATAGCATATATTTTGATGATAATGAAATTTCAGACCAACTTGACTATTGATTGGGATCATACCCCATCAGAATACACGTGTTACGGTCATGATATCATGCCGAGTAAGATTGCACCAAGGATCTATTGTGAGAACATCCCGAGGGCATATAAGGTAAAAACATCATATATTGTTGTCATGAAATACTGCCATTATTTACTAGTACAAATTTTTATCGAAGTATTTTACAGGCTGCGCATAAATGTATGAACCAACGAATTGAATACGACGTCGATATTCCTTTTTAGTAAGTATATAATGTTCTCTTCTCATAAATAATCCCTAACAATATTTATACGCGGTATTAATATTTGCAGTGGTCCGCATAGACCTTTGTGGCCAGTTTACGGAGAATACAAGTACGTGCCCAAACAGAGGTGGCTGCATAGTCTCGAGGTAATCGTAACAGCGACACAGCGTATTATCTACAAAATTTATTATGAAAATCTTTTACATTTATTATCCTATTGTTAACAGCATGGTGCGATCGTCATGTTGTATCACCCGTGCGCAAATCCGCTAGAAGTAGAACGTTTAAAAAATCTCGTCAGCAAATGTCTTTGGCGACACATCATCACGCCATACAGTTATCTGGATGAAGAACGAGTGAGTATAGGAGTATTAAGAGTTTATTTGAAATACATTTTTTTCCCCCCAAGTTTTCTGATATTCCAACTTATCTATATATACAGGGTGTCCCTGAACTCAGTGCCACTGGTGCAGCTGCTTTAACACGTGAAAACAAGTTGAGAATATCTAATAAACATATGTCCGAATCCC